GGCAGGATTGGTGACTTGACATCGGCATACATGGAAAAAACTATTCACAGTGGAAGCTCCTAACAAGGCCCCGGAGCGGGAGGGATATCATGTATGCGCATGGAGGTCCCTCCGGCTGCCGCCTTACCCACTCGTGGGCTCCGGCCAGGTCATCCACCCTCTTGTGAGAAACCATTTGGAGAAGTGGTACTCCAGATGACGACTCTGCTTAGATAGTTGGCTACCAGCTATCCTGGCTGTGGTTCACCTAAGCAAGACTATATTCTTAAACTGGTTGAAAGAGGTGCAGCCTTTGACATGATTGGGAAGGTTATTCCATATTCTAGGTCCCTTGATTTGTAAAGCATTTCTAGTTTGATTAAGTCGTACTCTTGGAATATCAAATAGGTATTTATTTCTGGTGTGGTGCCCATGGGTTCTGTTACAACCTTCTAAGAAACTTTTAAGGTCAGTATTGGCATTACAAATCAGAGTTTTAAATATATAGACTACACATGAGAGGATGTGCAGTGACTTAATATCTAACATATTCAGAGATTTGAGTAAGGGTACCGAGTGCTGTCTGGGGCCAGAGTTAGATATTGCTCTAATAGAAGCTTTGTGTTGGGTACTGTATGTACTGTAACTGTAAAAACCGCAACATTTCAGGAAATAAAGAACTGAAGAGCAGCTACTGACACACAAAGGCCAGAAAGTACGAGTATAAAGAGCTATGACATGTTTAGAACCGAGAATTATATACAGGCAGCATAAAACATCCACTAGACAGTGTGACACTGTAATTGCCAGAATTAGGCTGGGATATCTATATATATGGCAGGTGGCTGCAGGTAATGAATTCCCCCCAATGGTGAACATTCCAACTGTAAACTATGTGAACAAGAGCTGGGACATACTCTCCAACACTATATCTGTGATTGCCCTGTTATAAGTGACTTCAGACCAAATGGCATGAGGTACTTTGAGTTCTGTAATTACTTCATACACTCAGGAATATTTGAAGATATTTCTGTGCTGTACCCAGATTTTGCTAGTGGAAGCTAATAGATCAATCAGCCTTACATTTTATGTTCTTTCCTGATTTTTTACTCGGAGTTGATTTGTTTTTGTATTGAGGCTAGTATTTGCTTCCCCCTGACTCCATGTATGACTAACCATCCTGTGAGTCGGGAATATTAGATGAACTTATAGCTAGTTTATGATCTACATTGTGTAATCTTTCATACTGAATAGGGTAGCAGCACATTGCTGTGTATACCTAAGCTTGTTAATACCACAAGTACAGTTTCTAAATTAAGCAACTGACATGTGGAGAGCTAGTGTCACAATTAATATGTTTGTCCTGCACTCCGCCCCCCATCCAGTGGGCAGCGGTAGATAGGTTACAGTCACTTAGTTACTACCTACAGTTAGCAAACTGGGGATATTTGGCTAAAATTTCTAGTAGCAGATCATTTTGAATGAAATATTTACACATCGCTGGAACATTGGTTATAGAATTGTCTCTGAATTCACGTATCTTTTCGCATTCCATCACATAGTGACGGAGGGTGTGCGAATAATTTTGTTGACACAGTTTACAATAAAACTAAAAAATGAAATATCATAAAATTTGCCTCGGAGGGAGAGACGAGGAATGCGCGCTGATTGGTTGGTTTATGTCACGTGACCGGCCGTCACAACAGGATCTGCCATGTGTGTTTGTTGACATGAAATTGTGGGTGTAAGATGAACATTCTGCTCCCAGAAGCTGTTTGAAGACTCTTAAGGTGAATCTTATGTCGTATGCGTCTGCTCTTGATTCATCCTGACCATAGGTGAACTGCGAAGAGTCTGCAGGGCAGATCTGAGAGCAGAGCGTTGATGGAGGCAGAATAACGTAGTGTTAAGTAGATAATATAATTCCCGTTATTGGGGCAGGACGTGTCTACTGTTGTACAGTAAATTTAAGCTGTGCATCAAGGATACAGAGTATTTATGGTGTTGCCACTCGAGGGAATGTTGAGTCAAGGGAAATCTTGTTCAGGAATTCCAGGCGTTTTATACCTTAACCAATAAGATGCTACATCATTAAACCAGGTGAAATGCCACACTACATAGACCTTACACAAGAGGTAAACTATGACCCAAGAGGTTAAGTTTTTTTTAAACCAAGAGGTTAAGAGGTTATTTTCTTAAATTTGGTTCATCAGGTCATTGATCAGTTTATAGACAAGTTTCCCTTCTTACAACAACTTAGCAAACATTGTCATGACATTTAGGTCACAGTCAGGGCAAATTGGAAAGGCCAGGGTGGAAATGGGACACATTATCCTGCTACTGTTATAAGTATCAGGTTAATGTCAATCTACCGACCAGTCCAAGTCCAGGTCTGCACTTGGACTGGTCGATAGATTGACAACGTTGATTCTTATAGGATTGGAGTTCAATGGACAGTGGTTCGAGTTGTTAAGTCACCATTCCTTCATCTTGTCCTCGCATCCCACTGTATTGTCCTCGTATACCTTCCAAGTGTTGAATTGTCATATTGGTTTTGCACTTCTCATAATGACCGGGCCTGACACTTGGGCTTGAGCAAGAACTAGTCTGCCCCAATAATACAAAAATCCGATGGTTTGTGTATCCTTTCATTATTACCAAAAACAGCTGACTCGCTAATCCATCTCAGATGAATAGATTTTCAAGCAAGGATATTAACATTTATAAATCCTTAATTACATGTTGGTCCAAAATGTGGGAAAACTTTTTTAAAAGTGCATCTATATATGACAAAATACAGTATGATTTCCTCATTGGTACAAGAAGTCAGTTAGGCTTATCAAGGTATCTCCTAGCCAAGGATAAGGCTGTCCTTTCCTTTTATTTTAATTTCCAAATAGTCATCCATTACATCATTGGGGTTAATGATACTGTACTGTAATACACAAGTTTCTGATGTTTCTTAGGTGGGCACAATCCCATAGATTCAGTAATACCATACAATAATTTTTTGGTTGCTTTATGCATAAATACTAATTTCTTTAACTTTATCTTCAACTTAATTATCTTGTTTTACACCCATAGTAGACAGAATTAGTAGTCCCCATAGCGCAGTAGTAACACACTCGCCCAGCGCTTCGCGAGCGATTTGGCTTGTTTCATCTCGTAGTCGAGGAGGATTGACTAGGTGCCAATCGTTCGCTGTATGCCTCTGTTCATCCAGCAGTGAATGGGTACCTGGTTGTGAAATGATTTGGCAGGTTGTACTGTATTCCAAGGAAAATTAAGATTAAGGACCTGCCCAAAATGCTATGCATGCTAGTGGCTTTACAAGAATGTAAGAACTCTTGTATAGTATATATAAACAGTAAAAAAAAAAGAAGATACTTCTTGCAGTCCTAATGAATTTAACTTTTATTCACTATAACTTTAGCTAGCATCATTTAAATGGAAAGACTGGTTTATAATACGTTCACAAATTGGTGATGAAAGTGCAGTTTTCTAGGCTCACTGCTGCACTGTTTAAATAGACCTAGATGTTGCATAATTTAGGTACAAAAATAACATTGCAGCCTGTCATTGTAAGCTATGCATTTTGCCAGAAAATGATCAAAATTCTTAGATATAGCAAAAACAGTTCCCTTTACATACTGTGTGATAAATAGTGATGCTCCATGTAGCTCTTCAAGTTGAAGATAAAAAGCACTAGAAAGAAACTAGAATTCTACTGTGACTTTCCATGCAATTATTTTTCCATTGGAATTATTCTCTAACTTTTCTTTCCGTGACTATTTTCCCACAAATCTCATGGATATTTATTCAAACAAGTATTAAATAAAATATTTCACATTATTGAAGTGTAAAATTTTGCATTTAGGTTTCATCTTACTAAGAGAGAACCAGAGTTGAAATGTTACTTACCTTAAGCTATTTTATTGGGCTTACGCATAACCAAATAAAAAAGTTATGTACAGTAGTACTGTACTCTACCATGTGTATATTGCCTAAAGAACTGAGAGTGGTGTAATGTTTGTTAGTGTGGGGCTTGCAATATTGAAGAACTGACGAACAACATTCAGAATAAATGTGTCAGCCATTGTGAGTGAACCAATAAAATCTCAAAAGCCTTCTTTTGCACGTCAAACTCAATTAATTATTAATTTATTGTTAAATATAAAATTATACAAGCATGCAATTTGAACAACTATTAAAGTTAAAAAAACTGAACTCTGCTTATATTTTCACTTACCTGAATTATTAACATTAGCAAAATTAATAAAATTTTAATGTCCCATGAGCACAGTACAGTACTATATTTTGAGACAGTACTGTACATATAGGTTACATACACCATTATATGTATTTAGTGAAAATATCTGTATATACAGTATTTGTATATTATATTATTGAATATGACAAAAAGAGTTGTATCAATGATTCTAGCACTAATCTCTCTTTCTTATGGTCTTCACTTGAGAAAGAAGTTGAAAAATTAACTTTCAAAGTTAATTTTAGTTTTATATGGTCCATTGCTAACAGGATAGGATCATCTAAACGTATCTCTTAGTGTCGGGTCATATAAAACTGTAAGATGAACTTGGCAGAGTTAATTTTTCAACTTCATTCTCAAGTGAAGAACATAAGAAATATATAGATGATTAGTGCTAGAATCATTGATATAATTTTCTATTATACTAATAACATATGTCTACAAGAAAGACTGCTACCAAAATATACTAGTATAGTACAGTATTTATATATTAAATATTTGTATAATTAGTAGCTTAATTTAGTTAATGTACTGTAGATGGAATGGTTTAAATGTCTAACTGAATAGTAAAGAGGATAGTGTTTATAATGCTCTTGCTGGCCATTAAATCATTACAAACAAATCATTGATTTGATAGGTAAACTGCTAAGAAATGCAGCAGTTTTCAGGACCTGAAGCTGGGAGTAGCCATCAAGAAAACTGATGTGACATCTTGCTGTGTGTTTCTGTGCTGTACAGTATTCAGGTTGGTGTAAGTTATGTTATATTACCCTATATCATGTGTAAGTTATGTTATATTACCCTATATCATGTGTAAGTTATGTTATATTACCCTATATCATGTGTAAGTTATGTTATATTACCCTATATCATGTGTAAGTTATGTTATATTACCCTATATCATGTGTAAGTTATGTTATATTACCCTATATCATGTGTAAGTTATGTTATATTACCCTATATCATGTGTAAGTTATGTTATATTACCCTATATCATGTGTAAGTTATGTTATATTACCCTACATCATGTGTAAGTTATGTTATATTACCCTATATCATGTGTAAGTTATGTTATATTACCCTATATCATGTGTAAGTTATGTTATATTACCCTATATCATGTGTAAGTTATGTTATATTATTCTATACCCAAAGAAAGCAGTGGTCTAAGGACTTGTAATTAACATATCCAGAATGTTTAGATAAGGAATTCTATTGGAATGCATTTATAGTTTTAAGTAAATAACCAAAATATTATATTCCCTAAAATAATATTAAATACCAGTACAAATATAGTTGTAGTTCATTTATGTAAAAAATGTGACATGGCCAGCTTCTCCCACTGCTAGGTCTTGTTCCCATATTGGATGGCATGTTACTCACGTGTGAATTTTTTAAGTCATCCCATGAAGACTTCCCTTGTTTAGCACTGGCTTTACCAAAACACATACTAAATATTGTATTGTATAACATTTAAATTATCTTTTCTGTGGGGAGCCCCTCTGCCTCCCTGGGGCTATCAGACTGGTATACGCTATATTAGTCTGGATCTTCAGTCAATGGCGTTCTGCCTACCAGGGACCACGAGTCAGAACCTGGCTTCCTCAAAGAGGCACAGGGAGCGATGGCCTATGGAAACCCCCAATGTGTTTGGGAGCATCCCATGTCTGCCCTTGACTGAGGCTAGGCACCCAGAAAGGTAGACATAACAAAACAAACCCCACTTGGTAAGAAATTGCGACTGAAGACTGAACAGGGAAACAGAACTTCCCCGAAACATCAGGAAACAAGCAAGCGTCACTCACGGCCGCCACGTCTCTTGTTTCTCTGTTCGACCTTTGGTTGCAGTTTCATACCAAGTGGGGTTTGTTTTGTTATGCATACCTTTCTGGGTGCCTAGCCCCGATTGTTATCCATTGTCTATTGTTTGAGTTATCTACACGTCTGCTAAGCTGTGCCTAATTCAACAATAATTTGCTAAATACAGTACAATCTCGATTCGGCGCACTATATGGGACCAACCCTAGATCGTTATGGGGGTGGATTCGTTGCAACATGTGATGCCTTCAGGAGGCGTTTGCGTCAGTGTCTTTTTTTTTTTCTTTTTACACAATAAAAATGCATTATCATATTATATTCTGTACCTATATATTACTAATCTACTAAAAAATACTGTGCAATAGTTTTATTTACTTTATTGTTGGAGTACTTACGTCCATCTTGAATTCTCATAGAGTTGTTTAAATTTTAAATTTTGCCCCGTGGGATGAGTTTATTGGGTAGCGCCATCCATCCTGTGAGTGGACATATGGCCTTAGCAGCATGTACAACACTCCACAATAGGAAGAAAACCTGCTGGGTTGTTCATCCTGTCACTTGTACCCAGACACAGCTGGGACTTGCTTACTTGTCTCAAGTGAACAGCTTATCACACAAGAAGATTAACATTCGTCAGCCCTTAAAATCTTATGTTATCTTGCGGGTACAAAATGGGGAAATCTTTTAAGGACAGTATCTATTTTTGACAAGTAGTGTGAATACTGTTCAGTAAATATGTACAATATTGTATTATGCAGGTAGCACTGTACTAATTATGTTGTTCTACAATATACTGTACACTGTATACACTATGTAGTTCTACAACTTTACTGCAACTTTAAGTTTAACACTTTAATACTATGTACTTAAATTTGACACTTGTTCTAACTGTACACTCCACACATGATGTTCTAGATGTTTGCATTAGGTTTGCTGGTGCTTGCTGCTACTGAGTTGGTTTCAGCTTCTTAATGATTCTCAGACAATTTTCCTGTTCTTAATATTATGCATATTCTTAAATCTTTCCAACCATTCTTCACTAGCTCAAAAATGTGGAATGTTCATCTTTAAACATCAATCGCATCATCGTGGATGGATTAGTGGCTAACTGGTGGGCAGGTAGGGTGGGTGGGTGGATTTGGGGCAGGCGGATGGGTGACCATTTGGGCGGGCAATATGAGTTGCTATTTAGGCAGGCAGATGGGTGGGCAAGCAGGGTGGGTAGATTTGGGCAAGCTGATGGGTGGCTATATGGGCAGGCAATGAGGGTGGGTTTGGACAGGCAGACGGGCAGGCAATGAGGGTGGGTTTGGACAGGCAGACGGGCAGGCAATGAGGGTGGGTTTGGACAGGCAGACGGGCAGGCAATCAGGGTGGGTAGATTTGGGCAGGCGATATGGGTGGGTTTGGTTTGAGCAGGAGGATTGCAGGCTATTCGGGCGGGCAGGCGGTGTAGGTGGGTTTGAGCAGTCCGAATGGGCAGGTGGCTGGGTTTGGGCAGGCGGATGGCTGGCTATTTCTGGGTGGGTTTGGGCAGGCGGATGGCTGGCTATTTCTGGGTGGGTTTGGGCAGGCGGATGGTCATCAGCGTATATGAAGTTTAAGCCAGATCCAGTAACAAATTTCTCAAATATTGGATTTATATCATATTACAGTATATATTTTTTGGGTTATATATTTAGTTTAGCAACATTATTACGATAATAAGAGCTATAAAAACACGTATTTTAGAAATTATTTATTAATTTTATTATTTCAAGGCTGTAGGTCACTGAACTGTAGCGACGAATTTGAGCAAAAAGCACATGGTGCTGTGTGTACAGGTAATAGACCAGTCCACCTGCTCTCGAGTTGTTTTGAAAGCTGGAGCCAATAACATAAATAATTTCTCAAATAGCAGATGTCTATCTTAGCTTTGCTTAGCTTTTTATACCAAAGAACTTAGCAAGGGTGGTAGAGGAAGAAGGATGGGATGGTGAAATTCTTGGAAGAGGACTTGGATGTGGGGAGAGGAGGCTTGATATTTCGGTGACCTTTCCACCGCGGATTGGAGATGTTTTTTCGGTCTAAGCTTGTGGCTTGAGTTTTTCTTAAGCAGCAGGAGGCTATCATATTATAGTATATTTTTGTTTTATATTTAGAAATATAATATCGCTAATCTCCGAAAGTTCTTCACCGATTGCTTTGAAATTTTCACACAACATTCCATTTGCATCCGAGCAGGTTTTTATATACATACTATATAGATGTCACGTCTGTGACGAGAAAAAACATGCTTTTTTTTTTAAAACTACGTTTTTCCATGTGTTTTTCATGCGAGGGAAATCTTCGAAACCACTTTACCGATTTCTTTGAAATTTTGACACAACGTTGCATTCGAATAATTGAGTGTTTTTATATACCTACTATATACATGCCTTAGCGGTGACACGAAAAAACAAGTTTTTTTTAAAAAAACAGCGCCATCTGTTAGACGTAAGAGCAACACACGCTGTAATCTCCAAAAGTTCTTCACTGATTGCTTTAAAATTTTAACACATCGTTCCATTCGAATACGTGCATATTTTTATATACCTGCTATATAGAAGCCACACCTGTGACAGGTAAAAACAGGCTTTTTTTTAAATAGCGCCATCTGTTGCACATATTAGCAACACGCTATACTACATATGTTATGATTCCATTTCAATGTTTCCGATTTCATTTTCAAATGATTTTGATTTACAGTATTTTCATTTTGATTTAATTATTTTGTGTGACATTGTGTTGGAATAGAGTTGTGTTGCTTACCATACTGTTCATTTCATAAGTATAAGTACAGATGCCACACCTATGCCAGGTAAACACATTCTTTTTTTAAGAAACAGCACCATCTGTTGCATTTAAGAGCAAAACATGCTGTACTAAATATGTTACGATTTCATTTCAATATTCCGATTTCATTGATAAATTGAATTTTCATAGATTTCAATTTCTTTTCATTTTGATTTATTTATTTTGTGTGAAATTGCATTGGAATTGAGCTGTGTTGTTTACCATACCGTTCATTTCATGAGTATAGTTTATTTTTTATTTTTTTCATTGATTTTCATTTCCTTTTTTAACTGTTTTCTTATATTTAAGTGATGGGAACATCAGATCATTTGATGTTCCCAATTTTCTGATGGAAACATTAGATCATTTGGGAATGCATCGGACGAGGGAGTAGGGAATGGTGAGGGGACAGGAGGGGAGGATGGGGGGAAGGACGAGGGGACAGGGGAGGGGGTAATGGTGGGGAGGACGAGGGGACAGGAGAGCTGGGGATGGTGGGGGTCAAGGGGACAGTGGAGTGGAGAATGGTGGGGAGGATAAGAGGACAGGGGAGTGGGGGATGGTGGGGAAGACGAGGGGATGGGGAAGGGGGAATGGTGGGGAGAATGAGGGGACGGGGGAGTTGGAGATTGTGGGGAGGACGAGGGGACTGTGGAGTGGGAAATGGTTAGGAGGACGAGGACACATTAGAGTGGGGAGGACAAAGGGATGGGGAAGGGGGGACAATCCCCCCCCCTTCCCCATCCCTTTGTCCTCCCCAAACTCTCCCCTGCTGTATTGGGCCCATCCTATGTGGGGAGGATGAGGGGACGAGGGAGTTTGGAATGGTTGGGAGGATGAGGGGACGGGGAGTGGGGAATGGTTAGGACAACGAGGACACGGTAGAGTGGGGGATGGTGGGAAGGACAAAGGGATTGGGGAAGGGGAGATTGGTGGAGAGGAAGAGAGGACGCGGGAGTGAGGAATGGTTGGGAGGATGAGGGGAGAGGGGGAATGGTGGGGAGGACTGGCAGACAGGGGAAGGTTGCTGTTACTCAGCAACGCGTGGCAGGGTACAGCTAGTTAGGATAATAAAAATATAGTAAAACATGTTTGTTTTTTTAGGAAAGATTTATTAATCTGAAACTTTCAAAGTCATGGGTCACTGAACTACGATGAAACATCGAAGGAAAACCAAGTGAGGTTTACAGTACAGTACTGTATTCCCTATATCTGTCCACCCTCACTCATGTTGTTTCATCACTTAAAATGTCTATAAGGAGATTTCACCACATGTAGCTACCTTCTTACCCTTCAGCCTTTAAATTAATTTACAAAGATAGGTGTGCCTTAAATCAGTGAAAGAAAAAAATGGAAACTCAGTCATTCACTTGTTGTGTGGACCACTCTGGCTGGTGTTTGGTTAATATGGTTCACTTGTTGTGTGGACCACTCTGGCTGGTGTTTGGTTAATATGGTTCACTTGTTGTGTGGACCACTCTGGCTTGTGTTTGGTTAATATGGTTCACTCGTTGTGTGGACCACTCTGGCTGGTGTTTGGTTAATATGGTTCACGTGTTGTGTGGACCACTCTGGCTGGTGTTTGGTTAATATGGTTCACTTGTTGTGTGGACCACTCTGGCTGGTGTTTGGTTAATATGGTTCACTTGTTGTGTGGACCACTCTGGCTTGTGTTTGGTTAATATGGTTCACGTGTTGTGTGGACCACTCTGGCTGGTGTTTGGTTAATATGGTTCACTTGTTGTGTGGACCACTCTGGCTTGTGTTTGGTTAATATGGTTCACTTGTTGTGTGGACCACTCTGGCTGGTGTTTGGTTAATATGGTTCACTTGTTGTGTGGACCACTCTGGCTGGTGTTTGGTTAATATGGTTCACTTGTTGTGTGGACCACTCTGGCTTGTGTTTGGTTAATATGGTTCACTTGTTGTGTGGACCACTCTGGCTGGTGTTTGGTTAATATGGTTCACTTGTTGTGTGGACCACTCTGGCTGGTGTTTGGTTAATATGGTTCGCTTATTGTGTGGTCCACTTGTGTGATTCAGCGTGACATATGAAGGAATTAATAATTGTAACTTGTGATATACAGATAATGGGAAAGTTTTCCTCCAGTCTGTGAACTGTCCCAACATTATAAGCAAGTCCACACATTCCCCACTTCGGCGAACCAGAGTTCGTCAAGACAGGTGAGGAAATCTGGCCTGAAAAGTGTGCGACCTAGCCAGAGATCTGCTGAATTCGGGTACGCAGAATCGAGGTTGTACTGTACTGTAATTTGATTTTTTAAATCAAATATTAATTTGAATTTGCCTGTATCCAAATGGCCAACCCATCCTCCTGTTTTGGTAGTACTGTACAGTACTTATAGTAACGATGAGGACCATAGTACATATACCGACGTACAACACAATTATAAAGTACAGTATTGTATATATTGGTACTATTGAATTTGTACAAACTGGAAACACTGTTGCAAAGACAAACGAACTTAACCTTCCTAGGCCTAATACATGTACATGTTTGTGCTGTATTAGGCCTAGAATATTTAAGTTTGTGTTTTAAGTTCATTTTTTCGGACTATAAAGTGAATAGTACCAAATTCTACGATCTAATTGCTTAGTACGTCAATCTTTGTACTATGGTGCACATAGTTACAAAAACTACTATCTAAATAGGAAGATGGGTTGAAATGATGCTCACACACTCTCAAAGGGTTATATCCAACATATCTGTAATCCTTAGATTAGATAAGAATTTAAGACACTGTACTCCTAATATGGGTGCCTTGTGATTTGCAAAATTTCTGAAGAATGCCTTTGTGTATTGACTTGAAACTTTCAAGGCTTATATGTGGTGGGACAATGAAAGTTGCTAATATTACACACAATAAAAATATTTCTTTTTACTGTATCCAGGCAATTCTTGAATTATTCCTAAAGAAGTACAGCACAGTACTGGCCTTTCTCTGCTATTATGCACCCTCTAATGATACACAGAAAAGTATATAATGCCTGTGTTTCAGATATCATTTCACATTTAATTTATAAATCTGGAAATACCCTGTAGTCAATATTTTGACATTTGTTTATAAAAGCTTTATGTATTTTCTTGCCTGTCAAAGCAAATGTTATAATGAATTAATTAAACACAGTTCAGCCAATGAATCTACAGTAAAAGTTTTAGTAAAGTTTTCTATCGATGGCATTTGTCCGATGGTTTTATTTTTCACAATAAATTGAAAGGATAATATTCTCTTTCTAATATACATTAGGTGTTAATTGAGAATATTTTTACTGGAGTTACAGATTAGGTTGGAGATTAATTGATTGGTTTATTTGAAAAGGTAAGATGGTAACTTTTTATTTAGTTAAAATCTAACAGTGCTGTTTACCTATTTTAGCAAACAATAGAGATTATGGGAAAAGCACAAGCCACCAAGGTTCCGTCACAAGCTGTGTGCAGTTGCACTGGGATGGCGATGCACTTCAAAGTGTACCTGGAGAAAACATCAGGGAGAATGGGAGGACCTTTACAAGCCACCAGCTTCCTGTTCTTGCCGTGGCCAGTAGAGACAGTGGCCTTCAGGTAATTAAAGGTAAATATCATTATTTTTTGAGAAGATAAAAATATAATACATTTGCCAAATATTACCATACGCATTATTACCCCTCAATAGTCACATTTACTTTGTCATAAAAAAGATCAAATTGTCTGAAGTGTTCTGTTGACATTGGTTAAAAACATTCTATAATTATATTATCTTTATAAAAAAATTATAATTGTAAAACTTTATCTAGCTCATATTCAGAAAATCTCTAGAGCAAAGAAAAATCCCTCTAGGTTGGAAGTATGCAAATATCACCTTTATTTTCTGTGAGGAGCCCCATTGGCTCCCTGAAGCTATCAAACTGACATGTGCCATATTAGTTTGCTGTCATCAGTCCCAGGAGTTCTAGTGCCTACCGGGGGCCACGAGCCAGAACCTGGCTCCCCTCAGAGAGGCGCAGGGAGCAATGGCCATATGAGCACTCTGCATTTAGAGTATGTCATTTCTGCCATCGACCAGGGAAAGCACCCAGAAAGGTAGGCGAAGCAATATAAGCCCTAGTGAAAATTGCAACCTACGTCCAAACAGAGCCAAAGAATTCCCCCCAAAAGAAAACAAACAAACAAGCAAAGCGGCATCCAACTAGCGCACCAGCTTGTTAGCCCGCTCGGGCAAGCCGGCCGCTCACCCCATCAGTTCATTGACTGATGTGCCAATGTCAATAAATTTCCTCTCCGTTTATGGATTTGCCAGCTTTGTGTGGTATGGTGGCCAGGTGTTCTTTGGTTCGCTGGGCTGCATGCGCCTAGGGCTCTCTTCCCTAGGTGCCCAGTAAGTACTTCCCTTGTGTCACGGTTCTCTTCCCTGGGACGTTCGGGTCTCACACCCATTTGAGGGCTTTGTCACTGGGCGTTGTTCTCGCCCTTGGGGTCCGTCGGGGGTCTTGGGCTTCCTGTCTTGCCCCGGGTATGGAGTGGGCATTTGCTAGGTGGGGTGCACTGCAGCTGGCGCACCCTGCATACAGCGGCTGCCAATGATTCTCTCTGGGGACAGGTTGGTTTGTGTGTGTTGCTTCGGGGACTTTTTGTTTTGTATTGTTTTATTTGGACGTATTCACTTACTGTTGGAGGTGGTGGTCTGCCTAGCTTCCCATTAGACTATCCTAGGTTGTGTTGGTGGTCCTCCTCTATTGCCCCAAGGTTTCACAGCGACCTCTGGTTGTCACTTTGCCTGCAATAGACAGGGTTTACCAGCTGTGCTTCCTGTAGGGCTAACGTATCCTACAGGGCCCTGGAAAATGCCGTTGGGCTCAGGAACACCATGGATGTGTCTTCTGAGCCCTGTCTCACCTTGTGCGATGCTGAAGGTTGGCTGTTGCCTCTGCCTCATGATGATCATCATCCATCCTACCTCCATCATGCTGCCTGTTCGGTCGGTGACATCTGCGATCCTGAGTCTTGCGGGATTTGTTCTCAGCTTGTTATTCAGTTTACCCATTCCTTGTCTGAGGATGTTAGGGGTCAGGCAGCAGCTTTGTTGCATGCTAGGTATTCTTTGTTGCAATGAGCCTTGTTGGTTGCCCAGTTGGAAGCCCAGCTTGCTGGGTTCTTTCCCAGCTTGCTGGGTTCTTTCCCAGCTTGCTGGGTTCTTTCCCAGCTTGCTGGGTTCTTTCCCAGCTTGCTGGGTTCATGTTCCTGGTGAATTGGCGGAAGTCCCATCTGGTTCCATCCTGGGTTCGGACTTGGCTGGCCCTCGTGTGGGATTCTCAGATTGCACCCGTTTTTCAACCTCCTGTGGCTTTGACTTGCGTGCTCGTGGCCTGCTGGCTTTGGCTTTGCGTTTCTATTCCATCCTGGAGCTGTCTTCGGACTGGCTTGAGGAGGATGTAGAGGCGCTTGGGGTCGTTCCTGGGTCTGGCACCTTGTGCTCAGCGGCGTGCGTCGGCTGTTTTTTTAAAGCTGTTTGCGCCAATCCTGTGGGATGCGTTGTCGCTGTTTTATGCCTCCCAGCTCACATGTTGGCAGGCGGTGCTTGCATCCTCCTTGGAATCTGCTTGGGCCCTGGCTCTTAGAATGTCTTCACCTTTTTGCCACCTGATGTTCGCTGATTCTGCGGTGGCGGAGTACAGTATATGCAGGTGGCTTCTGCTAGCTGTCATCCAATGTCCGACTTGTTGGTTCTCCGAGGGTCCCAGGGGGACTTTCTCTGAGGGGTCGTGCAAGGGCTTGGGGCTCTGCTCATCGTGGTAGGCCACTGGTGCCAGTTTTGGCGCTGCCATGGGAACCGTGTTCGTCTGGTCGGTGTGGTGTTCGCTCTGTGCGAAGCTCGGGTTCTTGTAAGGGGCATCAGCCCTTTTGTGGTTTGTCCCATTGACGGGGCGATGGAAGGGGGGGGGGAGGCTTGCTCTGTTCGCTCATGCCTGGTCCCACAATTTGTGGGCATCTCGGGTCCCTTCTGACGGCCTGTGGTGGCCCCGCCTCCTTCAGGGGGCTCGGGGCTTGCGGGGCAGGCTTCTTCTCCTGCGCTCTGTTGGGTCATCTCGAAGTGGGTGAGCTTGGGCATGGTCGAAACGACGACGTCTCTTAGATGGGTTTCCCGTTTGTTCCCAGTCCCGTTTCGGTATGTTCCCAGTCCCAAAACGGGACTGTGCAGACCTGCGATTCATTCTGGACTTGTCACTGTCTGAACCCCTGGGTTCATTGCCCCTCCTTTCGGATGACTACTCTGTCCCAGGTCCAGCTTCTGTTGGAGCCGAGCGCTTGGATGGTGTTCCTAGACCTCCGGGACGTGTATTGGCATGTCCCAATTCATCCGGGGTTCAGGGACTGGCTTGGTTTTGTTGTGGGGCGTCAGAGTTATCGCTTTTGTTGTCCCTCGTTCGGGTTGAACCTGGCATCTCGTGTTTTCACGTGCCTTACCCAGGTCGTGGTGGCTCTCTCTTGCGATCACTGGGTTCAGCCTCCGAGGGCCTTGCGTCGGTTGCTGCGTCACCGGCTTCCTCTTCGGGTTTTTCAGGGTTCAGTGACTTGGCGTCTACTCGAGCCCTCGCTCGATGTGTTCACAGACGCGTCATCTCTTGGCTGGGGCTTTGTGACCAGTGCTCACCAGGCTGGCCAGGGGCGGGGGGATCCATCCTTCCGTTGAGCCCACAGCACAGTGGTGGAGTTAGTGGCGATGTGGTATTCCCTTTGAAGGGTTCGGGTCGCCTGCGTATCAACGATCCGGCTCCATTCAGACTGCTCCCCGGTGGTTCATTGTCTGAACCTAGGGGGTTTGATGCGGCCCTTGGCTCTTTGGGGCTGGTCGCTTCAGATGACTCATCTGCTGAGCTCTCAGGGTTTGGCTCTCCTGACAAACGAGGGGTGTCCAACGTTCAGGCAGACAACCCAGTCTCAGTTCGTTCCCCTGTCCACGGAATGGACGGTCGATACCGACTCCTTCAGTTGGCTCTGCCAGACATTCGGGCGCCCGGATGTGGACCTCTTCACGTCGGTGTGGTCTGTGTATATTATATCTTTCGGTATATGTGGTGCCCTTCCCTGACTGCAACACCATCAGGGTTGATGCCTTTCGGCAGGATTGGTCAAGGTGAGGGGTTCCGGTATCTCTTCCCCCAGGTTCAGCTGTTGCTCCAAGTCCTGTCTCAAAGTCACTTGGAGACTTACCAGGGGTGAGTAGTTCTCTTGGCCCCATGGTGGCCGGCCTAGCCATGGTTTCAGGCACTGCTTGCTCGGTTTTCTGAACCCAAAGGTTTTCCCGCAGCTCCGCCTCTTTCAGCAGATTGGTCCGGTTCATCACGTGGCTGGTTCCACCTTCTCCTTGAGTCTTCGCATTTGGTTTTTTTATTTAAGTCTATCACCATCTGTATGGTGCTCTGGAGGTGTCCTTGATTGTGTCCCACCTGCGAGCTTTGTCTAGGTGGCAGTATGAAGTTTCCTGGCAGTCCTTTCACTTCTTTCTCTGGCGTCGTAGGTATTCCTCGCTCTCGGTTAAGGTTGTCTTGTCCTTTCTCTCGTGGTTGTTTCAGGACCGTCATCATATGTCGAATACAATCGCCTCGTATCGTGCGACACTTGGCGGAGCCACTACAGCTTGCTTTCGGTATTGATGTTACTTCTGTGCCATTTCACAAGCTATCTCATGCGTTGTTTCACCTCTGGCCTGCTCAGGCACCGCCTGAGCCATCCTGGTCCTTGGATCGAGTGCTTTCTTTTCTTTCTTCTCCTTGGTTTGTTGTAGCCCCTTCGGTTCAGGATTGTTTTTCCAAGGCTCTTTTCTTGTTGGCATTGACCTCTGGGAGGGTGGGTCAGGTCGGGGAGCTTCATGCTCTCCTCTGGCGCTGGGGTTTCTGCTCTTTTGGCCCTCGTGATAGCTTTGTTCGCTTGCAGCCGTCTCCTCCGTTTCTGGAGAAGAATGTGACAGCTGCTTTCCAGAGGAGTCCTTCGGTTGTTGATGCCTGGTTGGTCAGGCCAGGGGTGCATCATTGTGTCCGGTTGTGGCTCTCAGCTGTTATTTGCATGCCACGGCTTCTGTGTCCGGGGATGTGCTTTGGGTTGATCCGGTTTCCCTTCTTCCCTGTTTTCGGGTGCCGGTCCCTCAGGTCGTCTGCAGGGTTATTCGGTCTAGCCAGCCTGCTGTCTATCCCTGTCCCCATGACATTCGTAAGTTTGCTGCTCTTGCTGCCAACTTTGGCAACATGTCTTGGACTGACATTCGGGCGCAGGGTTTTTGGCAGTCGAACAGGGTACTGGCTGCTCGTTACTTAGTTAATGTTCCTGGGCCTCGTCGGACCTGTGTTGCTTTTGGTCGGCAGTTACAGCCAGTTGCCTCAACTTTGCATTGAGGAGCCAGCAACGACTGCCTCCTGCGTAAGTCCCTCTAGTTTTCGTCTTTTGGTAGATAGCTCCGGGAAGCCAACAGGGCTCCCCCCAGAAAACCAGCACTGAATGTAATGAAATGCAATATTCTGAATGATACCCCGGAGGCTCCCTGACAACCCTACCTCCCTTCAGTCGGCGGTTTTTCGCGTGTTTTTGATATCTAGCCTCAGAACTGCAGGGTGGATCACAGCTCGAGGGGTCTGGGGCTTCTCCTTTCCCCTTCCGGATGGGGGAAGTGAATGGCGCAGACAGCGGCGCGGTGACGTGGTGACATCATGCTTGTTTGTTCATTTTAGTTTGGGGAGTTCTGTCCACTAGTTAGGCTCTTAGTAGCAATTTCTTAATCAGAAAAGGGGTTTGTTTTGGGATGCTTACGTTTGTGGGTGCCTGACCCGGTCGATGGCAGACATAGAATGCTTCCAAATACATGGGGGTTTCTATAGGCCATTGCTCCTCTTGCCTCTGAGGGGGCCAGGTGCTGGCTCGTGGGCCCCGGTAGGCCTAAGAACTCATTACATTCAACACTGGATTTTTGTTTATACTGTTCATTGTATATAAGTAAGCATCAGCTCATTATTGCAATATATTTAAATTTAGACTTTATTTTCTGAAGGTAGATGAAGCTTTGTAATGAAATCATGGGATTTGTTGGAGTTTAACTACTATATAAATTCAAATATTTTCAGTCTTAGCAATTTCACTATTGACTGATAAAAGATTCTTCATATACTGCATTGTTTACCTATGTGGAAATGCCTAACAAAATTTTTAGTGGATTCATGAGAAATTCCTTCCCTTAGGGATGACACAGCATAGGATAAGGAAGTGGTGATGGCCCCTGCAGCTAGAGGTTCTGGAGAAGAGCTCTTCGATCCTCCATGGGGGCTTGGTGTGCTATTCCCAAAAGCACTTGCATTTATGTGAGTCAAAAGCAATATTTGTGCAGTATTTTTTAAGAGTTTAGAGGGTGACCTTGTGCACTTTTTATGTAGAATCTTCTCCAAACTTTTAAATTATCTTAAAGTATTAAAGACATTTAAAGGAGACACTTAAAATATATAGTATATTATATACAAGAGTTGTTATATTCTTGTACAGCCACTAGTACGCGTAGCGTTTCGGGCAGGTCCCTGGAATACGATCCCCTGCCGCGAAGAATCGTTTTTTCATCCAAGTACACATTTTACTGTTGCGTTAAACAGAGGCTACAGTTAAGGAATTGCGCCCAGTAAATCCTCCCCGGCCAGGATACGAACCCATGACATAGCGCTCGCGGAACGCCAGGCGAGTGTCTTACCACTACACCACGGAGACTGTAAATCATTATCATATACATTTATTTTAAGAATTGTAAAATAGGTTACTTTCCAAACACAAGTGTTTCCAAGACATCATGAATCATATTCATGGCAGTCACAACCCTTAAAGTATTTGAATTTATAAGTCTTTATCTTATTTAGGAATGTAAATAGACATACCATAAGACTTAACAGATTTTCTAGGGGAGCCCCTTCGACTTCCTGGAGCTATCCAGGCTGATATGCATCTCTTTAGAATATGGCATCAGTCGATGTGGGGTGGAGTTCTAGGCCTACTGGAGACCACAAGACAGAACCTGGCTCCCCTCAGAGAGGCACAAGGAGCAGTGGCCTATAGAAATGCACATGTGATTTGGAGCATTCTATATCTGCCATTGACCAGGACAGGCACCCAGAAAGATAAGCGCCTCAAAATAAACCCTTATTCTGGTTGAAAACAACGAAAATAGACAAATGAGTGGACACTACTCCTCAAATGAAAACGAGTATGACATCACACGAGCTGCGCCGCATGTCTGTGCAGCTCCCCCCTCCCTGGGAGGGGGGAGGGGGAGCCCCAGACCCTCGCACCTGTGATCCACACCCCAGTTCTTCAGCTGATGTGATACGATATGGTTGTGTGGCTCCAGCTCCAGATTCTTGTGTTGTGTTGTGCTGCCCTTTGGTTCAGTATTGCTCTTACGGTTGCGTGTGAGCTGGGAATAATATTCACAGGTACTCGGGCTGCATGTGCTTAGGAGTCACCTTTCCTGAGTGCCCTGTAAGTACCGCCCTTGGGGCTTGGGGTTCTCTTCCACAAGTCACCTTGGGTCTACCTCTGTCGGTCTTTTGCTGCTCGGCAATTGACTGCCCCAAGTGTTTTGACGGGTTTCCACTCTTGTCTACCTTTAGGTAAGTGGTAGTTTTTGCACTGGTAGGGGCATGGGGTACTGCGCAGCTAGTTTTCATCTATAACAGCAGCCGGCTCTGTTCCCTCTGGATACGCTGTCCTCTTGCAAGGTTTTTCTTTTCTTTTTCTTTTTGCCTGGTGGGGGGAGGGGGGTCTGCATTGTGTGTCTGCCCATTATATTAGGGTTTGACTTTGTTTGGTGGTACCCCCTGCTTCACACTCATAAGTGCATACGTCCCTGGGGTTCAGCATTAGCAGTTTGTTTGATAGCATTGGGTGCCAGTTAGCAGTACCCTACCTGGGATTACCCGTAGCAGAAACAGTCTAGGGGCCCTGGGAAACCCCGCAGGGGCATTCGGGTTTGATGGATGCAACCCCTGAGTCCCCTCGTGCCTTGTGTGAGTTTGAGGGTTGCTCTGTTCCCTTGTCTCAGGGTGACGCTGATTGTTTTTGCCTACATCATGCTGCCTGTTGGGTCAGTGACACCTTCGACCCAGATTCCTGCGAGCATTGTTGCTTGTTTGTGACTGAATTCACCCATTCTACTGATGACATTATTCGGTTGCAGTCGACTCGCTCATTGCAGGTTAGGTTTAGGTCACTGCAACGCACTAGGTTGGTTACTTTCCCGGATGCCCCGATGCTGCCCCCGAATTTGCTTATTAGGGACCCGGACTTGGGGATGTTGGTCGCGTCGGCCTTGGTTCAGTCTGCGCCCCCTCATTCTTTCCCTGCTGTGGTTCATTCTGTCCCCCCCATCCTCTCTTTCCTTCTGGCTCCTGAGCGTTTGAGGGCTTCGGGGCACGGTTTCGAGGTTTCTGAGACTCGGGCAGTTTCGAGGGTTGCCCCTTCAGGGGTAGTGACGGAGGCATTCGAGTCTTTTCCTGCAGCCATAGCTCCGGGGTCTGACCAGTGGGCACCCCCGGCTTTTTCACACCACACAAGTTGTTTTTAGATGTGTGCATCAGCTCTGCTGGTGCTTGCTGCTGCTGTGGCTTCAGCTGCTTCTGAGCTGTTGCTGGCTACTGTTGTACCAGTGCTGGGTACAGCTGTACTCATGCTGCGTACAGGTGTTCTTGTGCTGGGTATGGCTGTGCTCGTGCTGGTTGATTTTCTGCTACAAGTTCTTGCAAAATATTGCTTCATTTTTGGCATTAATAAAGCACTATTAGTAAGCCCTTGAGACATTTTGTTGTATAACAATACAGCTGTAGTCAAAAAATGGTAAATTTTGCTTGTTGGTTGCTCAAGAGTCTGTGCGAGAGCCTAAACTTTGCGATTATGATCTACTTGCCGGGTCGGGTGTGGCCTCATCGGCTGTTCTGGTTCCTCCAGGGATGTCCCTTCCCTCCCCTCTCGCGATTGCTGGGTTCGACTCCCGGAAGAATTATGTCGGCTGCTGCGACGCTGGTTTCCTCTTCGGGTTTTTCAGGGTTCAGTGCCTTAGCGCCTACCCGAGCCCTCGCTCGATGTGTTCACGGTACAGGCGTTCCTGTACCTCTTTCCCCCGGTTCAGCTGTTGCTCCAGGTCCTAGCTCGCTTGGAGATTTACCAGGGGCGAGTAGTCCTCTTGGCCCTATGGTGGCCGGCCCTGGTCTTTGGACAGAGTGCTCTCCTATCCCTCTTCTCCTCGGTTTGTTGTGGCCCCTTCGGTTCAGGATTGTTTAGCTAAGGCTCTTTTCTTGATCACATTGGCCTCTGGGGGTCTAGCTACAGAGCTTCATGCTCTTCTCTGGAGCAAGGGTTTCTGCTTTTTTGGTCGTGGTGATAGGTTTGTTCGTTTGCAGCCGTCTCCTTCTTTTCTGGCAAAGAATGAGACTACTGTTTTCCAGAGGGATCCGTGAGTTGTTGATGCTTGGTTGGTCAGGCCAGGGATGCATCATGTGTTGTATCCGGTTGCGGCCCTCCGTCGTTATTTGCGCGCCACGGCTTCTGTGTCCGGGGATGTGTTTTGGGTTGATCCAATTTCGCTTCTTCCCTGTTCTCAGGTGCAGGTCTCTCAGGTCATCCGCAGAGTTATCAAATCCAGCCAGCCTGCGGTCTATCCCCGTGCCCGTGACGTTTGTAAGTTTGCTGCACTTGCTTCCGTCTTTGGTAACGTGTCCTGGGCTGACATTCGGGCACTGGGTTTTTGGCGGTCGAACAGGGTCCTGGCTGCACGCTACCTCGTTAATGTTCCTGGGCCTCCGAGGACATTATCAGGTGGGGAGTTTGACTGGGGCGGTACATCTGTCAAATGATAACGCAGATGTCCTAAGGCCAGCTCAGTGTGGACAGAAACCTCGCGTAGAGCAAAAGGGCAAATGTTGGCTTGATCCTGATTTTCAGTACGAATATGGACTGCGAAAGCAAGGCCTATCGATCCTTTTGACTTTAGGAGTTTTAAGCAAGAGGTGTCAGAAAAGTTTCACAGGCCTAGTCAGGCCTGTCAGGCCGACACAGGCCTAGTCAGGCCTGTGTCGCTTTGGGTTGGCGGTTGCTGCCTGTCTCGACTTCGAGTTGAGATGTGAGCACCGACCGCCTCCCGGGTAAGTCCCCTTTCATTTATGTCTTTGGTGAAGTAGGTCTGGGAAGCCTCCGGGACTCGCCCAGAAAATGGTGTTTCATTACATTCAAAGCTGGTTTTTTGACTCGGGTTTATTGCCATCTGTATGGTGATAAGGTGGCTTCAGTAATGGTGTTCATTTGTATTCTCTTGGGTGACATTCTCGGGCACATTAACTGCTACATTTAAGGCTAGAGAAGTTGCTAATCATGAGAACATGATAAAGATCATTTACAACGAAAATCTAGTCCATAAAATACCAAAATTATTGGGAACTAATCCTTCAAAATGAACTTGGAATGCAAGCAGGAGAGATGCTTGAGAATCTACATCAGGAAAATATTGAAGTTTTGGCTCTAAATTTGCACAAGAAAATAATTCCTTATGAGGCTGGGAGTATGGTAGAATGTGCAGAATAGTCTTTGTATTGGTGTATACACAGCAGGTTTTCATTTAGACATGGTTCACTGAATGACTGCACAATTAAAGGGTCCCGGTAATGTCGGGTTCATTCTCGACACACAATCGAGAATTCCTGGTTCGAGCCATGGTCCGTGCTACTTGGAAATTTTTGTTCCGAGTAGCTGAATCTAAAACAACAACATAAAAAATTCCTTGGCACAATTGTGTACAGGGCTGTTGTTTTGACTCGTGGACATTTGAGGGAAAGGAAATGTGTCCATTACTATTCCGGTTGACTTTTTACACATGCAGTTTTGTATCTTTTAGGTGAATAACCAGATTATTGGATAGAAAAAATATGCTTCCCTTCCTTATGGCCGTTGTCACTTGATTGTTCAGCAAATTGGATTCTTTCATGTACAGTACTGTAGATGGCTTACGTCTTGCACTTGTGTCAGCATCTTGAAGATGCTTTGATTCTTTATTATATTACTTGCTATACTGTGTAGTTGTTATACTGTGTAGTTACTGTATTATTTGGTATAGTTACTATACAGTACTGTATAGTTAGTATAATATACTACACAGTTACTATATTTACTGTATAGTCACTATACCGCACTGTATAGTCATACTTGTTTAATACTGTACTTTCTCTTGATAATTACTTGCTTCCTTTTGAAGTGTGATACAGAAATGCAGTTGTGTTTGTGTTTTAAGACACTGGTTGTTTTAAAATTTTAAAAGTTAAGTATACTGTAGTGT